AGGTAGAGTAGGAAAATGCAATGAAGTGCTGCCAGTCAATGAACACACTACTGGCTCTCATCATTTCCCAGGTGGAGTTTTATGAGACGGAGAGCGCATCCACCATCAGGAAACATAAAGCTGCCACGGCGAAGAACGTCTCCCGGAGAGAGGAGATGGTGCAGGAATGTCTTAAGGAGCTGTTGGATCTCTGCAAGCAGCTGGGGAAAGCGTTTGGCCTTCATTATTACAACATTTTCTCCACTGCCACATTGAAAAAGATAGCTGGTAATTAAACTTCTCAGACACAGAACTTTTTATTTAATTTCAAAAGCAAACATTTTATAACTTAACACACTTTTTGTCACATTCAGAAAAGCTTTCTTCTGACCCTGAAGTCCTCCTGCAAATTGATGGTGTAACAGAAGATAAACTGGACAAGTATGGAGCTGAAGTCATTCAGGTCCTACAGAAATATTCTGAGTGGCAGCTACCTGGTAAGAGATCCTACTGAAGTTTTGCACATTGTAACTTTTTGGATCACATGTTGGTTTGCTGTCGTCAACCTAACAGGCTGGTGGGCAGCATGTTCACCTGAGTTTGTGAATAAGATAACTTGAAAATGAGGCGACATAGGAGCTTCCAGTTATATCAAATTGTATCTACTTAAAATCTCAGACCAGTTTAAATTTGTGACCTCAATGTCAGAGGTCAAGGTTTCTTAAAATCTTGTGAATGTGATAACTTGAGATCAAGACATCTAAGATTTTGAAGTTGACACCATAGGCATGTCTATGAGGAGGCTGACCACTAGCACTAGTGGTTGCCTGTAGTTTTTTGTTTTTTTTTTTAACTTTAACACAATGTGTGAATTTAAAAATAAAGTTAAAGTTTTTCTGTGTATCAGAGGAGCAGGCTGACAGTGGAGGTGACGGGTGGATAGACACGGCACGAGGTCACACTCATGGAAATGACGAGGATGACACTGAGTCCTCCACCTACTTCCGTAATAAGTCTGCACAGGGACAGAAGAGAAAGAAGGCTCCGTTCTTCAAGTATTCCAAGAAGAAAAAAGGATGTGGCAACACAAGCTCCAGTTCTAAAGGGTCTGTAGAGTGTTGTCTCACATTTCATCATCCCGCTGGGGATCATATTTGCCAATAGGCGTCACTCTTGTAACTGAACTATTTTTCTTTTTTGCTTTCTTTTGTCTTGCTGTGGTGATTTTTGTGGATTTAGCCGTGGCTACAGCAGCAATAAATCCTGGTCGTCCTCCAGCTCCAGGGGTGGAGGTCGAGGGTCCAGGAGCTCAGCAGGTGATGCATCAGCAGCCAGGAGACCAGGATTACTGGCAGCCCCGATGCCTCAAAGCAGCCAGCGTCCGTTCTTAAAGCCAGTGTTTTCACACTTGAGCTAGGACTCCTTCGTCCCGTATCTGACTTTGTAGACTAGTAAGCTAATTTTCTAATCCACCAAGCTGCTGCTTCATATTGGACCAACTAAAACTGCATTTTCTGTACAGTTATCGCATGTTTATATTGTTGTACATTTTTACTTTCTGTGGCTGGAATCCTTCCTTGCTCTTTTATGTGCTTATCTTATTTGATAATAAAAATAAATTAAAATTTTATTCATGAGTATCGATGTAACTTGTTTTGTTTTTGTTTGTTTTTTTACACAAAACCACACGAGCAGCTGCATCCGTTTTTAACATTTATTTCAAGTTTGAAGTGTCTTATTTAATGGCACCAGTTACAAGGGACTATTGGAGAGAAACAATATTTTATACTGACTTGTACAGAAGGTTACCTACAGTACAAACATTGGTTTTGGAATGGATCAGACTGAACAAGAACTGGATTTGGCACATGGATATATATATATCTATATGTATATATACTTGTATATTTAACATAATTAAACAGCAATCTGCGATCTGAGGATAGAATGAGGCAGACTAGAGAACACGCCACCAGACATGGATATGCATATACACTCATTGACGTGTATGCACAATTGTGTGAAGGTCTGTACTGGGAGCGAGCAAAGGGCAAAAAGCAGAGCAAGCTGTCTTGGGTTAGTTTCATTAAACCCTTGGTGCGAAAAGCACCATTCACATTAATGTGACAGGGGCTCTGACCAGGAAGGAAATCAAGCCAATTAAGAACAAACCACCTAATTGTAGTCAGGTAAGTTGGTTTATGTGATTGCAACAGAAATCTTAAATTCGGATTTTTT